TCATTAGCCAAACCTATCACAAAACCCAGTCACATTTGGTTGGCTATACCTCTTGTACAGCTTGAGGTTTGTATCAGACACAACATTCTTGTTCAAATCACAGGAACTACCTTGTTTAAATCACACAGTAGTTACCAGTTATCTCAAAGAGCCTTCTCCTTTTCCCCTGAGCCACATGAGGTAAATGGAAAGCATTAGTGAAGATTAGCATTTCTGCTCCCATAATTCTTAATGATTTCCTATGTCCTTCCAGAGCTTCACACTGCCTGGTATTTACTACCAAGGAGGGTCTGAGCAAGTCTCAGAGCGTCCATTTTTGGATAGCTAATTAAAACTGAAGAGCAGACTTAGTCTCTTAAAGACATCTGGCTTTAAGCTGCTAATGATATGGGCCTTTATTACACCCATTTTAATTATGTACTCAGGTAAAAGCAAGAATTGAACTTTTTTTATTATTTCCCCATTTGCAGCTTCATAGTGATTCTGATGTTCTCTAACATTTCCACATGCCACAACTTCAACTTTCATGGCTCTTAACATTGCCTTTTCATCCTTCTGCTGGTATTGTAAAATGCTTTGCATCATTCAATAATCCCCCAGCAGCATATGCTGCCACTCAATATTACATCAAACAACCTGCACACCCACCCAACCCCACCCCAAAGGGTCAAATGAGGATTTATTCTCCCTCAAGTTCAGCATTCCTTTTTCCCACGACCTTGATAGGTGAGTTAAAACCACTACACTGTGCTAAACATGTGGTTGCCATCCATGTGGGCAGGTTCTGCCACTGTGGACTCAATCAACTTCCAAATGAAAATATTAGAAAATAATTATATCTCTGCTGAACATTTACAGACTTGATTGTCATTATTCCCCCAAAAAAGATACAGTACAACAACTATCTACATGGCATTATGTCAATCATTTGCATAGCATTTGCAGTGCATTAGGTATTATTAGTAATCTAGAGATGATTTAAGGTACACAGGGGGATGTGCATAGGTTACAAACAAAAACTATGTCATTTTACACAAGGGACTTGAACTTCCACAGAACTTGGTATCTACAGGGAACCCTGGAACTCTATGGACACCAAGGGCTGAATTATAGTATCTTCCTTCTCAGGTTAAATTTGTTGCATTTTAGACTTCATACACTCTAAGAAGAATATTGATATTGAAGATCTCTATGGGTCAAATACTAAAAACTGCCATGAGATTTTGATTAGTTGTCATGCCAGACAACTCTTTCCATTAAACCATTTCTAAAATAAACATTCTCAGACTTCCAGTCAGCGTGATCAGCTTGTGGCATGAGCATCTGGAAGTTTTTCGGGTAAAACATGGCTAAGGGGCCGGCACCTTGGCTCACTTGGTTAATCCTCCGCCTGCGGTGCCGACACCCAATATGGGCACCAGGTTCTAGTCCCACTGCTCCTTTTCCAGTCCGGCTCTCTGCTGTGGCCCGGGAGGGCAGTGGAGGATGGCCCAAGTGCTTGGGCCCTGCACCCCATGGGAGACCAGGAGGAAGCACCTGGCTCCTGGCTTCGGATTGGCGCAGCACACTGGCAGTAGTGGCCATTTTGGGGAGTGAACCAATGGAAGGAAGACCTTTCTCTCTGTCTCTCTCTCACTGCTAACTCTATCTGTCAAATTTAAAAAAAAAAAAAAAAAAACATAGCTAAAAGCTTAAGGAGTAAGTAGAAAAGGAAAATGCGTGCTGAAAAGAGAAAAAGAATGCTCTGAAGGAGCTGAGCAGACTTAAAAGTATTCTCAAACTAGATAGTGCTATGCTGTCATGAAAGATGTTAAAGAGATAGCAACTGCAGTGGTACCCAAACATTACTAAGGGAAAATGGAATGTGAGGTGACAGATGAAAAAGATGACATGAAAATGGAGACTGTAATTAAGAGAAACAGGAAGACTCTTCTAGACCAACATGGACAGTACCCAATATGGATGAACCAGAGGCAAAGAAAAAGGCTGACGGCAAAGAGAGAGGAAGGAAAGGGAAAGAGCAAAGCAAAAGCAGCGAAGGCAGCGAAGGGTTTGGTGTGGTAGACTCCCATTCTAAACTTGAAAAAGGCCCCACAAGACAGTTGTTTGGCAAGAATGTGTGCTAAGAATGTGTGCTTTGGCCAGCACCACGGCTCAATAGGTTAATCCTCTGCCTGTGGCGCCGGCACACCGGGTTCTAGTCCCAGTCGGGGCGCCGGGTTCTATCCAAGTTGCTCCTCTTCCTGTCCAGCTCTCTGCTGTGGCCCGGGAAGGCAGTGGAGGATGGCCCAAGTGCTTGGGCCCTGCACCCCCTGGGAGACCAGGAGAAGCACCTGGCTCCTGGTTTCGGATCAGCGCGGTGCGCCAGCAGCAGCGCAACGGCCACGGTGGCCATTGGAGGGTGAACCAACGGCAAAAGGAAGACCTTTTTCTCTGTCTCTCTCTCTCACTGTCCACTCTGCCTGTCAAAAAAAAAAAAATGTGTGTGCTTTGGTTTTATCTCTCACCAAAGGAAAACTATTTCTTTTTGTGTTTTAAGTTGGCTTTTCCCCCTTCAATTCAGACCCAGTGTAACCCCTCAAGCTTTTTAGGAGAACTAAAATAAAATATTTTCTGTGCTGAAAAAAAATTCTCATGCAGAGATTCCTCAGGACTTCCAGGAAATGGCCAAATTTCAGTACACTATGGTCTCTGGCTTCTTTGAAGGTATATCTGATCAAGTCAGGGAGAAGCACATGGTTTGGCTTGGACACTTGGAGACATAGATGAAGAAAGTCTGGCTTCTTCCATGAATCCAGAATCCTAATTTTAGCACTTAAAACACCAAGCAGCTAGTCAGATGGTAGAAGAAAATCAAAGAGAATAAAAGAGATGTGGCTATCTGTCCCCAAGGAACAGGATTTGTTAAATATGTCTACCACTTCACACAAGTGAGTTAGTGGCAAAGAACTGAGGGAATCCACATACACAAATGAAATTATGATGCAGAGTGACTCTTCTTCCAATGAGTGCAAGTCCAACTACTGTCTTTTGGTTTTTACCAATTATATTAAAGTTTTTACCAAAGATATTAACATTCTCTTCTCTTGGGGAAAAACATGGACAAAAGGAGGCCAACTGGCAACATGAAGGCAAGAGGAAGAGACAGTTACTCTCTTCACTGCCTTCCGTCAGCAAAGCACCTTTTGAAAATACAAAGTGCATATAGAATGATTGCACTTACTATTTTATGAAAAGCTTTGTGTAACAATAGGTAGACTCTTGAAATCAAAGTCCCTGCGTCTTAATGGTTGTGCATTTTGCCCTTCTGAATATGTTTTATCTACAATGAAAAATTCAATTCAGCGAGCTGTCAGTTCCCTTGATCATCTAAGAGGATATGATCTCATTATTACAATATATATAATATACATTCAGACTCCACTACTGAGTCACAGTCAGCCACATCTACATGGCAGGGACGATGGCTTCTGCATCCTTCCCTTGTCTAGTGCTCTACAACTAGTATTCATTTTCAAAAAACAGGTTGAAAATGTGCGAAAGTGTGTATTTCTTGTTGCAATTTATGTTAACAAGGAGATAGAGGGACTATACATATACACACTTGCAGAGTATTTCTGGAAGTAGAAACAAAATACTAACCCTGGTTAGTATTGAGGAAGGGAACTGAGCGGCCTGGCAGTCTTGGGTAGGTGGGGCAAGTTAGTCCTTTGTACTTTCTACTCCACCTTATTCTTTTTCTTGGAGCCACACAGGCATTCTTACAGTAATTCCAATATTTCAACTACATATGCTTCCAATTTACAGAATGTGCACTTGCCATTCTGGTACCCAGCACACTGTCCCTGGAGACACTTCATTCAGTGAGCCTCAGATGTGACCTCCTACTGAGACTTCCTTGGCTAAACAGTGTATAATGACTTGCCCCTCACGCTTCTTATTGTCTCCTAATACTTTTGGTACTTAGCACCACCTGGCATTCTCAGTATTTGCCTGTTTAGTCGTTTTGGAACACCGCCTTGTGCATAAAAGGCAATTAAACTAACAAATACTTGCTGAATTAATGAATGCACTTTTGAGATTTTTTAAATCATGTAAATTATTTTTTCAATAAAAAGCAGCTAAGGAATCAATGTTTGATGAATTAACCGTTAAATATTTATTACTGTGAAAGTCCGAGTTTCTCTTTTTAAAATACAGGCTCTCTCTTCCTGCCACGTATTGGACCTGGGCAAGTCAATTAACCTGAATTCCTTTTTTGTCATCCTAAAGTAGAGCCATTAGTAGTTACTTCACAGAAGATTAAAAGTATGTGAAAGCTCTTCAGTGGTTTCGGTGCTCAAGTTACCGAATCACGTGGTTTCTTCCTGCTCGGAGCCCAGGAGCTACACCACAGGGCTTCCACTAGCGCCACGGACCTGAGATTTTGCGGCGCTAAAGGAGACTACGCTGCCGCCGGGCGTGTCTCCTTCCCGCCGTTGCCAGGGAAACCGTAGGGCGTCCGGAGGATCTGAGCACGCGCGTCGGGGCTACGCAGCTCAACCCTTTCCGCGTTCGCGATAGGTGGAGCGCGGGCCAATCGGAAGAGGCCGGGGACGGGGGGCGGGCAGTGTGCCGGGAAAGGCGGTCCGACAGTCCAGGTCCCCGACTTCCGGGTCGCGGTGCTTGCAGGGAGCGCTCGGCGAGTAGCGTCGTTTCCGTTACCGGCTGTTTGCAGTTGGGGAAACCGAGGCAGCTGCAGCTTCCCCCTAGTTCTTCCGCTCTTGTGAGGTGGCTGCTGTTTCTTTTCTCTTGCCCTGCGCTGCTTCCGTGGCGTGCGGGCTGCGCGAGCCCCGCGGCGTCCTGCGGGAAGTCCGCGGGGGCCGCGGCCGCCCGGGCTTTGTGCTGGCCGGTCCCTCCCACTCGCCGGCAGCGCGCGAGCCGGGCACCGCTGGGCTCTGGCACCGGGGCTTGGCGCAGCGACTCCCCGAGGTGTGGGCTGTTCCGGCGCCGCGGTGCCGGCGTGGACTCTGCTTGGCAGTTCTGCTTCTTTTGTCCTGATGAGCGCGGACGAGAGGAATTCATTGACAGATAGGGATCAGCCCTCCTGCGGGGATTCCGAATCTGACAGTCCCTCAGGCCCTAGTCTGGGGAGGATGTGTCTGGGAGTGTGTGAAACAGGGCGGAGACAGAATTTGTATTGTTTATAGGTAGCTCCCTCTCACTTGCATCTCCCCCAACCCGCTTTTCATGTAGAAGCTGAAGAATTTTCTAAGATCCAGTTCTATCCAATGCGTAGGGTGTTTTTAAGTTATTATTTTTAAACTCTTGTTAGTATTTCTACCCTTTACCCACTGAGTGGAAAGTCGAGAATCGGCCAGCGTGTGATCTGTCTACTCCGGGTTCAAGTTGTATACTTTCATTTGTAAGCCATTTGCAGTATGATTTGCTGACGTCACCTGATTGGGGAACAGCTGTGAGCAGTTAGCCCAAGTGCTAAGAGCTTGTTCCTTATAAGAATTCTGATGTTTGTGTATTTTCAGGTTGCTACATTGAGATCCTCTTATTCTTGAACTGTTGAGCCCTGTGTCTCAAGGAATGAGAAAACAGGAAACTAAGGAAATAAAATTATTTAACAAAAAGTGCAGAGCACTCTGGTATCGTTATTGCAAGCCATTCAATAGCTTGGCTGTACGTTCTGATTTTTTCAGTTTTTAAAAAACTGACTATTTGGCCACCCATTATTTAGTGGTATATATTACAATTGTTTTCTTAGATGCCTAATTAAACATTGTCACAGAACAGTCACGATGGAATAATAAATATTAATAGAACTTGAGATTTGATGAGTTGGATAAATTTTTTTTCAGTTTTAAAGCTCAATTTCAAGTCATTAAGCTTGTGTTATATATTTCCTTTCCCAGGGAAAAAATGTTTATTTCTTTGTGGGAATTCTTCTATGGCCACTTCTTTCGATTTTGGATGAAATGGCTGTTACGACAGATGACTGGAAAGTGTGAATTGCAGCGCATTTTTGATACCTATGTAGGTGCACAAAGGACGCACAGAATAGGTAATGTAATTCAAAATAAAGTTCAAAACAATACAGATTTAACCGAATTGCTTTTTTCTCAGTGCTCATCCTGGCAGATGTACTCCCTGTGTATCTGATCAAGTCAATTATTCTGAGTTTTGTAAGCTTTAAAACTTTGCTTTGAATCCTTCTAGCTCTAAGATTGTATACTTATGTAGAAGAGGGGACATTATTTCCTTATCTGTGCAAGAAATCTTCTCTGGATACTTCGGGGTATCAATGCCTTATATTTTTACAACCTATTTTCTGGAGACCATTTCTTTAAATAATGCCCTTGAAATTTTCCCTCCGGTGATGAGAAGAGTGAGTGCCAGTCAGAGCCCCTCGTCTTTTTATTTCTTAGGCTTATTTCTGAAAGGCTGATAGGTAGGTATTTAGTGCTCCCTTTGGGAGGATTGTTGAACTCAAAATCTATGCTGTCCAGGACTGTAGCCAGTGGCCACACACGGTGGTTGAGCCCTTGAAATGTGGCTAGCCTCAACTGAGATGTGGTGTGAATAGAAAATATACTTGGGATTTTAAAGAGTTTGAAACAAGAATGTAAAAGTGTCTCAATAATTGTTTATATTCCTTGTATGTGGAAATGATAATGTTTTTTTATATATGGGCCTAAATATATTAAATTTGATTTTTATCTCTTGTTTAATGTGGCTAGAGAAAATTTTAAAGCATGCAGGTGGCTCACATGCTGGCTTGCATTCTGTTTTCTGTTGAACAGTGCTGCTGTATTCTCAAATATGTCAGTGTTTCAATGCTTAATTGAAAATACTACTCTAACTTAGGACATAGATGAGGGAGAAATATGGTTTGAAGTCACTTCTTTTTATCCAGTGCGACTGGCTGCAGTTCATGCTCACTGTGTTAAATAGAAAGTCGTGAATTAGCCAGAGCCCCTTTTGTGTTGATCAGGTGTGCTTCGGTTAAGTAATCAGCCCCTGTAAGGTTGAGGCAGAGGGGTGCTGGCAATCCAAACATGGATCCAAGACAACATTGGAAGAATGACAGATGTCGCCTCAGAGCAGCTGGATGATTGAAGTTTAATTAGTGTCCGAGTTTTCTTCCCATTTCTTGGCTGACTTAAATTATTGCTTGTTCTTTTGGTTTGCCCTTTTGACTGCTGAGAAGAGCAAAGTTTGTCTCTTATGATAAGAAATGGCTGCAGGCAAGGTGTTGTCTGGTGTTTTATATTGTAGGCAAAGAAACATATGTTAAGGCTTGACTTTGTGGGAAAAGCATTTTTTCTAAATTTTCCAAATTGCTGAGAAAAAAGGAAACAATAAATGTGCCAGAAATGTTTAAAAATAGACCAGTAAAAATATTCTCACTCTTGAAGCAGAAGCCATGAATGGAGAAGATATTCTGCTATTTGATTAGAGGATCATTGGCCAGATAATCTGAAAATCTTGCCCCTTTGTTGAATGATTCATTTGCAAGTACTTCAGTTCTAAACACTCAGGCCAGAAGGCTAACAAACAAACAAAATGCAGTAGAGAACACTCTCATTGTTGCCTTGAGATGAGGTTCTGGACTCAAGCTGTTCTGATGCAGGCCCAGGTGGAGTTTGTACTGATTGGTACACACTTCATATGTCTGCACGGACTATGATGATCCTTGGGAAATTAGATTGCCATCACTCTTTGGCTTGGTATGTTGTGTTTGGTTGAGGTCTTTTGGATTCTGTCTACTTCTGTATACTGTAAAAATAAGAAATTAAATATTTGCTATGCTGTTCTAGTAGAAATTCTGTCTTGTAGAACTATGAGAGACCTTCACAAAGTTAAAGGAAAAATTAAAAGTTAACTATTTTGGTACAAATTTTTTTGCAATTCATTTTTTTATGATGCATGTTTTACATGAACTGTTTGAAGTGCCCTCAGATTGAAGTAATTTGTTACTGGTTTGATATTTTTACTGCATGTTTGCAGAATAATTCACCAATAGCATTTAGTGGTAACATTCTTTTTTTTGTTTGTTTCAGAAAATTCCTTGACATACTCCAAGAATAAGGTAGGATCATATTATCAAGGTGATAATTCTAGAAAAGTTAACTTGTGCATACTTCTTTAAAGGAATGCATTAATTTTACAATTAGTTATTTTTGTGTCCTGCTAGAGGAGTCTTTGGTATGAAGAACTTTGGGCAGAAGTTAGAGCCTCAGGGGGAGGCTTTTCTTCAGATTGAGTCCTCAGGATAGATATTATGGAAGAAAAACAAGCAATTTTGGATAATTACAGAAAACCCTAGATCTTGTATCTTTATACTTAATATAAGTCAAAACTCATGTATATATTAGCTTTTGCTGTCTAGCAAACTATTTTGAAAACTCTCAGAGGCATAATACAATGTTACTTCTTGCTTGTGTGTATTTGGATCAGCTGGAGAGGGTCTTTTTAAGCTGGTACCAAGTTCAGACCAGTTCCGTTTGTCTCATTTTGAGGCCAAGTTGAGAAGGCAGTGAGTTCCTAGAGAATGTCCTCACACTGGATCATGAAGGCCAAACCATACGGCATATTTAGGTATCCTTGAGTTGTATCTATTAGTATCTCATTGGTTAAAATAAGTTAAATCACTGAACTCCAGTCACAGAGTGGAGAAATACTAGTAAACTATGCCCACTAGAAGGCAGTGGAAAGCAGGTGGGTATATAATTCAATCATGGCCTGCCACATGGTGTTCCTTCCCTATATTTTTAATTCGTAATTTTTTCTATGTATAGATTATTTGGTGTGACAGAGAATATGTCATCAGGACCATTGTTTGACATCCTGTAATAGATGACAGCCAACATTAAACCAAAACAAAAGGAGTAGAAAACATTTAGAAGTCATGGATCAAAATAAAGTCCAGTATTTTATGAGGTTTTTAGTTCTCTGTATATCTATATATGTTTTAGATTTCCATATGTATATTTGTATTTTGTCATGATCTAAAATATGGATCAGGATCAAATAGTGTTGACTTGCTACTGTTTAGTGATATTTGAGTTACTGACCGATGGCACAAACAAACAGATGTTGCGGAGTTTCAAGCCTCTCTCTAATCTTCTGGAGAGAAATCTTAAACAAAGGTGCTTTACTGATTAGTTACATTTTTATTTGCAAATGGTATATGTAAGGATAACCCATACTTGAATGAATGCTGAAAGAGGAAGCCCTGAGTGCTATTCTTTTGTGTTCAGAATCTTACAGAGTGATTTATATTCTTCTTTCAAATGAAAATGTAGGGGTCCAGAAAGCTAACAAGTTGCTGGTTCTAAACTGTTTTTAAAGATTTGTTTATTTATTTGAAAGGCAGAGTTAGAGAGAGAGAGATGGAGATTAAGATTGATCCATCTGGTTCATCCATCATCCATTTGGTTCACTCCCCAAATGATCTCAATAGCTGGGGTTGGACCAGATGGAAGCCAGGAGCCTGGAACTCAACTGTGTCTCCCAGTTAGGTGCAGGGGCTCAAGAATTTAGACTATCTTCCACTACTTTCTCAGGTGCATGGGATATGGGTTTTGGAATGCTGGTGTTACAGGCAGTGGTTTAACCCGGTGCATCACAGGCCTGCCCCTCTAATTTTTTTTTTTTATTCCATATCCACCCATACAGTGCCTTGAACTGAAACTTGGGATGCAGGTTCCTAAAGTAACAATATATCTCAATAAATTGGACAGATGTACTTGGAGAAGTGCTGTATTTCAGATCTGTTAGAACAGTAGTTCTCAAACTTTAGCATGCAGCCACATTTTTCAAGGCTTTTTTATTTATTTATTTTTTATTTTTTCACCTTTTTTATTCCCAGTATCAAATGAGTTTCATTGTACATGGTAGTGAGTCAATTGATAGTTGTTGAAAAAGCAAGACCTGCATACATAATAGGTATTCTAGGGAAACTAAGAACAGAAAACAAGTACAATTATAGAACTTATGGGGGCCGGCGCTGTGGTGTAGTGGGTAAGGCTGCTGCCTGCAGTGCTGGTATCCCATAAGGGCGCTGGTTCTAGTCCCAGCTGCTCCACTTCTGATCCAGATCTCTGCTATGGCCTGGGAAATCAGTGGAAGATGGTCCGAGTCCTTAGGCCCCTGTACCCTCGTGGGAGACCTGGAAGAATCTCCTGGCTCCTGACTTCAGATCAGTGTAGCTCCAGCTGTTGCAGCCATTTGGGAAGTGAACCAGTGGATGGAGGACCTCTCTCTCTGCCTCTGCCTCTCTCTAACTCTGCCTTTCAAATAAATAAATATTTTAAAAAAAGAACTTCTGAATCCTTTTCATGCAACTTTTTCATTTTCTAGGAAAGCAAATGGTAGCTCATGCAGGTAAAAGTCACATGGTTGATATGACCAAAGACTATAATCTGCATTTTTTACTATGTTCTCTTTTTTTGCATTCTTATTTTTTAAATTTTAAGGTGTACAAACTTAATGAATTCCATATATACAAATTTAGGAACACAGTGATTCTTCCCACTTTACCCTCCCTCCTGCCTGCATTCCCACCTTTCTTCCTCCTTCCTCTTTTCCCATTCTTACTTTTTACAAAGATCTATTTTCAGCTAACTTTATACTCATAAGAGTAACCCTACACTAAGTAAAGAGTTCAACAAATAGTATGAAGATAAAGAAAAACTGTTCCTCAACAGTGGAGACGAGGGCTGTTCAAACACAGATTCCATGGCCCCTTCCCCAGAATTTCTGATTGAGTTGTGATTGCATTCCTAGTATAGTCTCAGGTGACACTGCTGCTTCTGCTGGTTGGGGGCAGTGCTTTGAGAACCATTGTGTTGGGATGCATTCTGGGGACTGTTCTGGATCTTAAAATGCTCTTTGTTTCCATATGAAACAGGATGTGCATTTTCCAGACTGAACTTAAACAAGTTGTGTTTTGAAATGGCATGAATTTAAAACTATTTGGGTGCTGAACCCTTTAGAATGTAGTCTCCTGTTTAGCATCTTCCAGGTCTCCCATGCGGGTGCAGGGGCCCAAGCACTTGGGCCATCTTCCACTGCTTTCCCAGGCCATAGCAGGGAGCTGGATCAGAAGTGGAGCAGCCAGGACTCAAACCCGTGCCCATATGAGATACTGGCACTGCATGTGGTGGCTTTACCTGCTACACCACAGCACTGGCCCATCCCCTTTCCTTACTCTCCTTATTTATTTTTCTATTCTTCTTGCTGAAATGAAAGAAAAGGCATTCTTTCATTTTATTGTTGTTCACTGTAATAACTGTCCTGGATATTTATTCAGTGAATGAATAAGTGAGAAATATAAAAGGATAAAGATAATAATTCAATGAAAATTTCCTTTTTTTAATAAACAGCCTATAACATTTCTTATATTAATTCAGTGCAGAGACTCTGAAACTTGGAATATGGTACCACATCAGGTTGATTTTAACACCTTTGTTATCACAGAATTAATTAATTTATTTATTTTGACAGGCAGAGTTAGAGAGAGAGAGACAGAGAGAAAGGTCTGCTTTCCGTTGGTCCACCCCCCAAATGGCCGCCACGGCTGGTGCGCTGCACCGATCTGAAGCCAGGAACCAGGTGCTTCCTCCCGGTCTCCCATGCAGGTGCAGGGCCCAAGCACTTGGGCCATCTTCCTCTGCCTTCCCGGGCCACAGCAGAGAGCTGGACTGGAAGAAGAGCAACCGGGACAGAATCTGGGGTGCCGGAGCCACAGGCAGAGGATTAGCCTAGTGAGCCGCGGCGCCAGCCCCCATAATTTATTAATGGGGTTTTACATGTGGTAAAGTTACATGAAGCTGAAGCAGAACTCTAGAGCCTTGGAGGCAGCGGCATGCTTAGCATTCTACTTTAGAGATAGCCACCAGAAGAGTATTGGCTGTGATTGTCAATAGGAGTTCAGGGAAGGAGAGGCAAGTGTGGGCTAGGATGTTTGAGACTTTAAGATAGTGTTTGCAAGTTAAAGAACAAGAAAATGTTCTTTTTGTTTTGTTTAATTTCATTTACTGGCTGTTAAACTTTCTGGAAGAGTAAGCATTAAAATTGTATTATGATTTCATCACTAGAAAAATAGGGTTACTAATAGTGTCTTGTAGGCAGTGCTACAAAGAGTAGTGAACAAATGGGTTAAAATACACAGAATTAAATCACTGCTTCAAGTGGAAATTCCTTGATTCTTAAAAATTGTGTCTCCTTTGCTTGTATTTTAGGTTAAAGACTACTTATTGACTGTATATTAAAGTTTATTTAACTTTGGTATTTAGGAAAAAAAATTTACACCTTATTAGAAGTTGAGTCTAATTCAGTATTCTGTTAAATAATTGGGCTGCCGTGTAACATATGGTCGTGTTGCAAAGGTCTCCTGTGCATATGTGCATATAGCAGTATTTGAAATTTAGGGAAAGATCACTCTGTCAATGTGTTAGTATTTTTGAGTAGATGTACTTTTTTATTGCAGCTGCTGTCTTTTAAAAAAATTATAATGTTCCAGCTGTTGAATAATAAAAAATTGGTTTTATTGCATCAGTTTAGTTGTCTGTGGGTTGATGCTCTAGTAATGCATGTTTGCCTATTTTTTGACCTCCTAATTTTCCAGACTCTAGTAGCTAAACTTTAAATATATAAGTACTTAGGTGCTGTAGTTCGAAGTGAAGCATTTGCACTCTATGGATGTACTAATGCAAATGTGTACCTAATCCCCCATGTTTGCTTGCATAGCAAAATTCACAGTTGATGTTTGCTGGTTGTGAGCATGTGTTATCCATATAATTGTAACCTATCAAGGTAAATATAAAAAAGACTGCATTACTCTTATGTTCATCAGATATTATTTTATAATAATATACTTATTATATATTTATATATAATATATTAATATGTACTATATAATATATAGTCAATTGATGTATAATCATATATTCTAACATATAATTATATATTAATGTAATTAATATATAATTAATTAAAATATATTTATATATTTATATATATTGTATATAATATCTTTTAAAAGTATGTGCATTAACATTTTCTTACAAAATATGTGATTTGGTT